TGTATAGTGCATTAGCAATATTAATTATTCATTTATATCATTAAATTTTCGGTCCCTTTTGATAGCAACGTTATTGGCAAGATTCAGGAAAAGCATGTTAATGATGCGGATCTTAGACTTCCGACTATCGTGCGACCATGCTAAAGTAAGGAATTAAGATCACCTTAGCTCTCGTACCTTTGAGCAACGGAGCCCTGGCCTATAGATTACAATTGTTATTGAGGCATGTGCTGGTTATAACCCTCTGTGGACCTTATTCCCAACACACTTCAATAGTGTGTGAAGCCAGGGCTAGTCGTGATATCACGGCGGTGCAGTTAGGAATGCTTGATGCATTTAATTAACGTAACTAGATACAGACATTGGACTCAATGTGATACACAGAAACAGAAGGAAACTGACAGCCTTACCGGAATGTAAGCTTCATCCTGCATTCATGAGGCACATTCCATGAATACACAGACACATAATTATTTGAACGCAGAAAATCTATTTCCATAGTGACCCAGCAGATTGAAACACAACTGTAGCCGTTATTGTGTTGTCATGTGAGTGAGTGAGTGAGTGAGCGAGCGAGCATGTTCTACGCTCAGAATAGAGTCTCATACGATGTATCCACGTGTGGAATCGAACCCGAGGTGTTCGTAAAGCATTAACCACAAGACTACCCTGGTACAATGGTTACAGTGTCATGCTTTTTCATTTAGTTGGTTGGTTTGTTGCTTAACGCCGCACTCAGCAATATTCCAGCTATATGGTGGCGGTCTATAAATAATCGAGTATGGACCAGACAATCTAGTGATCATCAACAGGAACATCGATCTACGCAATTGGGATAAGATGACATGTGTCAACCAAGTCAGCGAGTCTGACCACCTTTTTCGTGTTAATTTATCAGAGAGTAAAGCTTGCAATTGTGGTCCTTCGGTGGAAGATGCTAACCATTTCTTTTTAAAATGTCCATTAAAATGTCCAAACTTTGTCAGCTCCCGTCTCGATATGAAGCAAGACTTTGAACTATCAAAAGTTCACTTAAACATTGATACCATTCTTTACAGCAACCCTGCTCTGCCAAATACTATTAATGAAAATATTGTTAGACAATCATGTGCATAAATACATTGCACGAAGTAAGCGCTTCGATTAATGAATAATATGTCTTAATATTATTATGTCCATTCATTACGTCCATTCATTATAGTTCATGTTTCTGATGGGAGCGGGCGGTAATAAGTTACATAACTTGTGCCCAGTCCCTTTCAACATTGAATAAAATATGTTCAAACAAACAAACCACCTGATCCCGTTATTCGCCCCTTACGACAAGCATTGGTTACTGATGATCAATTCTAACCCGGAATTGTGTTTGGGTTCTGCTTTTCTGAAAACGGGTTCATGCTTTTCTGAAAACGTAAACCAAACTGTCTGCCCTTTTCTTCGATACTTGAATGTGTACTGCTAGGTAAGCACGGTGAAAATACGCCTAAGAGCTAGCCTACTAGAATCTATTTGATTTAAAATTATCGAATTTACAATCTTCAAAGGTACAATTCCGTGTGTCATTACGTGAAGCCTCGGCGAAATATCTGCATATGTCCGTGTCTACGATGTTCAGCAGTTCGAAAGTTGAACAATTGAAGGTGTAACTTTGTTATGCCACACTGAGCGCTCGTTAGAACGTCATCAAAGTACACCGGTCTCGCTGGACAAACGCTGACCGCGTATGAGTGCAATATTCCATCAATTTCACGGCGGGGACACCAGAAATGGGCTCCGCATATTGTACCCATGTGGGGAATCGAAACCGGGTCTTCCGCGTGACGAACGAACGCTTTAACCACTAGGCTACCCCACCGCCCCCAATCCTGTGTGAGGTTCCAGTAAGTGAGTGAGTGAGGTTTTATGCTCATATGAGCACAGCTGTATCATAGCGAGTGAGTGAGTATAAGCTACTTGTCAGATTAAATGAGGTGCCATTTACCTTAGTGGACAGGGGTGGTGGGGTAGCCTGGTGGTTAAAGCGTTCGCGACCGCATCCGTGGTGTAGTGGTCTGGGCTAGTACAAGCAACCACACATACACATACACACGCATGCACGTCGTCATATGAGCGAAATATTCTCAAGCACGCCGTAAAACCCAATTTCACCTCACCTCACATAAAGCGTTCGCTCGTTACGCCGAAGACCCGGGTTCGATTCCCCATACGGGTAAAATGCGTGAAGCCCATTTCAGGTGGCCCCCAGGTGGTTAGAGCGTCCGCCCGGAGAGCGGAAGGTCGCGGGTTCGATCCCCGACCGCGTCAAGCCAAAGCCAAAAGACGTTAAAATATGGTACTTGTTGGTCCCTGCCTGGCGCTCAGGCATTAATGGGTACAACAAGGACTGGTCGGCTCGGAGTCAGTATAATGTGTCTGAGTGGGGTATTCAAGCTTCACTGCGGCATGGTATCTCAGTGGGCTAGCACTATAAAACCAGCTTCAGTCTGGGCTAGTACAAGCAGCCGCACATACACATACACACGCATGCACGTCGTCATATGAGCGAAATATTCTCAAGCACGACGTAAAACCCAATTTCACCTCACCTCACCTAAAGCGTTCGCTCGTTACGCCGAAGACCCGGGTTCGCGTGAAGCCCATTTCTGGTGGCCCCCAGGTGAGAATACCTGCACAACCGTAACGTCAACGTATTGCCTTAGCCAGCGTGTTCTCCAGACATGAAGCCCATTGAACATCTCTGGGATGATGTTGATGGTACGCCGAGATAGCGTATACCACCTCTAGTGAAAGGAACTTGAACAGACTCTCTTGGACTCATGGAACAGGATTCCTGCCGACAACACCTGGCGGCTGACGACGTCAATGAAGAGGCGTGAGTTAGCGTGTACTGAGGTCACACTCACTTTTGATGACGTGTCCCCTGACGCCTGTGTCACCATGTGACTCCTCATGCCTTTTTTGAATGAATGCTACTTGTGTGATTTTCAATTTTGACCCCTTGACTCTTTTGTTATGAATTACGGTAAATGCAAGACCAGCATTGCAATCAATTTTCAGTCAAATTATTTGAAAATGATTTCTGTTTGTGAAATAATTATCATCAATCTCACATACGTCTTTGTTTCAATTTTTGGGTCAAGTGAAGTCGGTGATAACTTTTTGTTGCCCGGTAGTTAATATAAGCGTGCGTTTAGGAATCATTGTGAAATAGTGATGATATCAAGTGGGCGTCTCCAGCCCCACCGGTAAACTCAATACATAATGAAGACTGTTTACGGTATTTTTCTTGAGTGAGTTTAATTTACACCAAACTTTGTCTAGTGCTTGTCCTGATACATCATCAGGTCATATTTGCTGTACACTTTAGGTTGAATAATTACAGGGACCCCGTGAGTACATTTAAACTATCGCCAAGACATCACAGAGACCTTAAATTCCGAAATACTGGTCACCAACAGTGCTTTTGAGTGATGCATTTCTAATCTTGTTGACATATTCTCTAATTGGTTGATGCTGTGTTGACTGCCAGAATTTAAATTCAACTTCTACAATCTGCCAGATATAGAGATGATGGCATGGTATGTTTTAATAAAATGTGCAGTTAAATCCACGTATTTGATATCGTTTGATATAACACTAAAAGGACAGTGCACTGAATCTACAGCTGCGCAATGATCGATAAGTACTTAAAGACATGTACATAGAAGCCTGCCATTAGGAAGTAAACACACCAGTCCGAACTTATCGTTGCTATCAGCTGTCGTCAAAACTAAGATATGGCAGAATAAACATCCTGTGTTTTCAGCATCAAACTTAGGTTATCTGTAGATTCCACAGCGATAAAACAAATTTGGAAAAAAATATCTGCATTTAATACATGTGTGTATATCAATATTGAAAACACTCACCGACAATGATTGCAAAATAAGTACTTGCTGTAGATGTTAACTTCCGTGGTCAAGCATCCACCAAATCGGTTGTTTTAATGGCGCTATTGTGATTTCAAACGTTTTATCGACCGGTCAGATTAGAGTAGTTTCAAAATCAGAGTAAAAAATTATCAATAGCGTGAGGGACTAACGGGATCGGGTGGTCAGGCTCGCTGACACTTGTCATCGTATCCCAAATGCGTTGATCAATGCTCATGCTGTTGATCATTGGATTGTCTGGTCCAGACTCGATTATTTACAGACTGCCGCCATATAGCTGGAATATTGCTGAGTGCGGCGTTAAACGACATACAAACAAGCAAATATCAATGCAATTATTGGATATAAACGGTTCTCAGCTGTTATCAGCACTATATATATCATTGAACATATTATATCTGTTAACTAAGGGTGACTACAGAGTTGGAAGCAACTGCTGCGACAGCGATAGTCAATTGCAACATACTATTGCGATACTTTTGCAATTGTTTTATCTCTCCTTGAATTGTCCCATTTGAAGTCATGTATAGTTTATATGAAATAAAAACAAGTTGAAGTACTTTCAGTTTCTTTTAATAACTGACAAGTAACTTGAAATCCAGATCAAGTAAACAATTAAAACATAAACTCAGTGAAGTTGCAAGTCCTCACCCAAACATCCTATATTTTGCGCTGCGCATTTATCAACGAAAGTCAATTACTAAACCATCGATAGTCACACATACTATCGATTCATCGATAGTTTTTCGTTTCTTCCATCGATTAATTGCTATCAGAGACTCAACAATTGCAATCCATCGATAGTTCGATGCATCGTTACAGTCCTACAGTTAACACAGAGGTATTTCAAGGAACTTGCTCCTTTATATGGACCTTTTATGGTTCACCCTAAATGACCAAAACAGTTTAAATGCATATTGTAACCTAAATATTCGGGAATCATTGCAGGTGCTTCAATTATCCTGAGATGACCACAGTCTGACCTCTCATTCCACCATCATCTGAGAACATTAATGTGAGGCCTACTGGCCAGTCTGACCGTATTCAAGTGGACATCGACGGCGGGACAGGATGGACGCGGAGGACAATATAACTCGGCTGACGTTTGGACGCCACGAATTTTTGACCATCCAACCAGAAATTGCGATTCCGATTTTGTTTATACTTGGACTTGCAACAGTTGTAGGAACCTTAGGAAATGGTCTGATTCTGGTATCCGTGGCAACGAGGAAGTCTCTGCACAACGTGGAATCTATCTTCATCGTCAACCTCGCCTGCTCCGACCTGTACGTGACGGCGATAGCGGACCCAATGAGTATCATAGGTAAGCTGGAGAAATGATGATATGTCGATATGTTTTCGAAAATGTTCTTACATTTACCGGCGACTATTGTAAGTGTGAATATTATATCAGTTAAATTACAGGGTGTTTCAACACGAATGTACAACTGAGAAATCAAGAAACACAGTGTGATTAAAACCTGGGATAAGAAGCTATGCACATTAGATCCCGGCACCGCCAAGGGCGACCGACAGTTTGAATAGGTAGTTCAATTAATAGTAACATAGACATGAAATACACAATGCCAATTTAGAAAGTGGTCAAATGTAACATATGTTATATTTGGGATTTCACTTTCTCAGTAAAGTACAGATTCTAGTGCTTTTTTTGTGTTGAGTCCCATCCGGGATTCGAACCCACACCCTCAGAGTCAGGCACCTAATCGTCAGCACACACAGTCAGACGCCTAGACCGCTCAGCCACCGCGGCTTCCACAAAATGGTAGTCTAGGCTGCGGACTTTGTGTACCCCTCTGATAAGTGTTAATTGGCACGGCTCCCACGGCCGATAGCTATGAAATACACAATGCCATTTTAGAAAATGGTCAAATGTAACATATGTTACATTATATTATGTTATATTTGGGATTACACTTTCTCTAAGTAAAGTACAGTTTCTAGTACTTTTGGGGGGTTGTCAGACACGATTATTTACAGACCGACGCCATACAGCTGGAATATTGCTGAGTGCGGTCTTGTATAACAAACAAACAAACAAGGTAAATCAGAGAAACCTGACATTATAACCATTGTACCGGGAAGCCTTGTGGTTCAAGCTATCACTTGTCTTGCGAACATACGGGTTCGATTCCGCACGTGGGTACAACATGTGATACTCTATTCTGATATTCGAGTGTGGAGCTAAACAACAAACAAACAAGTCATTAACGGGTTTTTTATCTCACAGGTTTAAAAAAACGACAGAAAAAAGGATAAATAGGAACGCCTTATACCAAAATATGGTGTGATGTACGTATCTTCCAAGGCACAATACAAACACGGTGAGATTCTATTCCAATTAAAAGAACACTGGACACTGATCAGTGATACTGATGTCTCGAGACAGGTCGCGTTTTACAGATGATGTTCCAGATATATAGAAGGGAATCGACGCATCTAAAACATATTTGAATACCACGATGATTATTGAGAATGTAACAAGACAATGTGTACAGTGATATATATAGAGAGCACAACCACAATCGAACTGATAATTGTATCAGAGCTGACCCTTCTGTACTCGGGAGAGTTGAATGTAGTTGACAAGACGCTTGGTGCAACTATGGCTGGAATCAAGGGTCAGATCATGTCCGTGGTCACTGGAGCGACAATGATTGATAGCACCGACCTTCCGTTCTCCGAACAACAGTGTGCAGTTAAATATGTGACCTTGATTGCTGAACAGTGAACCCCAGTGTATATCCCTATAACGCTATGATTTTCACCCACTGTTCAAATTCCCTGGATACAATATTATCCACCGCCAACCTTTCTCAGAACAAATGTACCAGTTCCCTGGTTATGTTGCCAGTTTTTATACCAAAAGGTCGACGTGGCAAATCAGCTGCTTTGATCAGCTGAATAATTAGTGTATATATAATTAAGTTGGGATCTTTATCATTGGTTAATGCGTGATAGTTTCAAATAGAGAAGGTGTATCTGCAAAATGCACTCTGCTTTATTTGTGGTTATTTCTTATTATATTGTTCGGTATTGGTGTTTGGCTTCTATTGTTATAATGCCACCTTGGTTATAACGCCATACAAATGGACAAATGGTGCCGTTATAACCAGAGCATCTGTTTTGTTTGTTCAACAGTCACCATGACTACGGCTTTCTCACTGCAGCCTGATACCTGGAGAATTGGTCTTCAGGGTCCCGTTCCTCAAAGCGATCGTAGCGCTAGGTTGATCGTAACTCCCATACTTTAACATAGTGTTACGACAGTCGTAGCGGTACGATCGCTTTGAGGAACGGGGCCCTGCAACCCATGCTTGTCGTAAGAGGCGACTAATGGGATCGGGGGGTCAGGCTCGTTGACCTGGTTGACATATGTCATCGTATCCCATGCTGTTGATCACTGGATTGTCTAGTTCAGACTCGATTATTTACAGACAGCCGGCATATAGCTGGAATATTGCCGAGTACGGCGTGAAACAATAACAACATTGCAACCTTTAAATACGTCCGAGTTAACCCAACTTGTGTTGGAAACGATATACTGAAAGGCAAAAGAAACGTCGTAATATTAGAAATGACATTTGAGTATCAATGGAGTATTTGAACCTATTTTTAAATATACACCAGAAGTCAAGTTTGAGGAAACATGAATCGTGGTCGTATAGCCTGCATTGCCCAATAAAGTATTGTTTGAGATTGAAGTTAGAAATGTTTTGTTTTTGAGAGGGAAAAGTTCCCACAAACACAACATTGAAATCGAGATGCACGTGCATCATAAATGCATTCAGGCATAAATTGCCGGCTTGAATGGCAATCGTTCACTTGTTTTCTGAACACAGCAGCTATGACTAGGTTAACGAGAGATCAACCACAACAAGCTATTGGACGTCTGCACGCTGGTCAACATGCTCGAGTCATTGCTAATGACTTCAGTTGCAGCGTACGAACGATAGAACGTCTTAGAGTGCGATACAACGCCACCAGCAGCACTGATGACCGTCCACGTAGTGGTCAACCCCGTGTAACAACACGTCGCCAGGACCGTCATATCGTCCATCAACACGTGCAAGACCTATTCGCAAGGGCCAGAGAAACAGCTTGGGTGACCATAGGAAACCACCAGCGACCAGTCAGTGACCTACCATTCGGCGACGTCTCCAAGCCAGGAACCTGTTTTGTCGATGTCCTGCCAGGAGACCCATATTCACCCAACGTCACCGCCGGGAACGTATCCAAGTGGACACAACAGCGGCAAAACTGTCGTGGGGGACAATGGAGAGGGGTTATCTTCTCTGATGAAAGTCGGTACTGCATTTCAGTGGCGTATTATTTTTAAAAAATAGGTTCAAATGTTCCATTGATACTTAAATGTCATTTCCAATATTACGACATTTCTTTTGCCTTTCAGTATCAGACAGATACGTCTTCATCGTCCACCACAGTCACTACAAATCCATCTTCAACACCCGCAACTGCGTCATCTACTGCGTGTTATTTTATTGTGTCGGTATGAGCTTGGTCCTTCTCAACCTCGCCGACATTGGCGACCATTCCTTTGACCACAAGAGCCTTGAGTGTATTTGGGAGCGCATGGCGACATACCCTTACACCGTCGTCTTCTCCGTTGTAATGGTGTGGATCCCGATCATTGTCACGGGGATGTCCTATCTGCGAATGTACCGTCACGTGCGTGCTGTACGTTCACGGGTAGAGAATGCACGTGCAACCCACCCAGGACCAACAGAAAAAGCAGCTGGTCTAAAACCAAGTTACAAACTGGCAAAGACACTCTTCATCATATACCTCGTGTTTTCCGTGTGCTGGATACCATACGCGCTACTGATCGTACTGGACTCACGTGACACGTTCCAGCACGAGCTGCACGTGTGTATCGTGGTGTTCGCTCACCTCCACCCGTCCATCAACTGGCTCGTATATTACGCCACTAACAGGAAGTTCCACAACGCATTCATTGACATCCTTTGCCTCGACAAATGTTTCTCTTTTCAACAGGCAATGACGCTTCCGCAATCTGCACAGGCGCCGCTAAACGTTAAAGAAAAAAGTGGCACTGCCCAAATTACTTCTGATAATGTTTTGTCATAGTAAGTGTATCAGTGTATTTTCAGGATTGTCACAGCGAGGACACAGCTGACTCCACGGTAGAACAACGTTAACTATAACTTTATATCGCTCTAATTATGATGAACTCTCTATTAAAATATCCAAGGAACATATTCGATAATGTTGTATTGTTTTTTTAATTGCATCTTAAATAGGTTGAAATATACGTGACCATACTTTTGTTTTACACATTCGTTCTCGCGGAAGACCCCAAAACGAGTTTGGTTTTACGCAATATTCTAGCAATATCACTGCAGGAATATTTTCACACACTGTATGCATGTTGGGAATCGAACCCTGGCTCCGGCGTAAAGAGTAAAGTGTAAAACCATCCAGGCTGCACAACAACAACAAAAATGGATTTTGAGCAAAGAGCATTTTGGAAGCCCCTGGGTGAAATGGTTTACATTTTGAATTTCACATTAGGTACTTTATGTGTTCTTAATAAAGTATGAACCCATTAAAATAACATGTTGGCATTCGTTTCTGCAGTTTCTGAAATGTTTTCCAGAGATAACTACATGTATTGCTATTATATCTATATATTTCGTACAGGATGCGAAACATGTCTTTTTAAGATGTCTAAAACTGACCACCATGATATACTAACTGTGCATAACATAAAATTGCATATAAAAAAAGTTATTTGAAAAGTTTTAAAAATAACCCTATAAGTAAATAAACATGTAGCAAAGCACTTTGCATGAAATTTGATGTCACGTATTGCGCGTGGCACGTGCACTTTGTGCACAATGAACTTACTCACGTTTTTCATGATTTTTGACACGTGAAGTTCACAACCTGATATTGAAAATTGAAAAACGGTTGATTATTCTCTTGCCTCTGAATGTTGCAGAAAACTCTTAAATTTCAACCTGAACGTTATGCCACGGCTTAGAGAAAGTCAGCGTCTCCGCCTCGTAGGTATGCTGGAAACTGGAATGGCCCAAAATGAAGTGGCCAAACATTTTGGTGTCAGTCGATCTCCTCTCTATGGAGACGTTGTCAAGATATTGGGACCACTAGAGATTTGCATCGGACCGCGTGACGTCACGTCAGCAAGACAACCACATTCGGCACACCCACCTAAGGATTCGATTCCAGACTGCCAGTTTGGCTGCTCGGACCATTCCTGGCTTACGTCCAATCAGTACCAGGACTATACGGAACTGACCGAGGGAGCACAACATCCAGTCCTAACGGCCTGCAATACGTCTAATTTTGCTCCAACGGTATCACCAGGCACGTCTTGTCTGGTGCAGACAGCATCTGCGGTACAGAAGAGAAGATTGAGATGGTGTTTTGTTCACTCACGCGTCGAAATTTCATCTGGACAGCTCAGATGGCAGGCCAAGGGTGTACTGACGCGTGCGTTGTTCAATGGCAACAATTTGGTGGCGATAGCTTTATGGTCTTGTGAGGCATCACGTCTCATAGTCGGACACAACTTGTCATTGTCCGTGGCAATCTCACAGGTTTGCGATACAGGGATGAAATCACTGGACCTCATGTGAAGCCGTTCACGATACGGAATTTGTGAACTGACTCGTGACACCACATCTCTTCAAGGGCCTGTCAGGATGCCTAGTGTCAAATCACACAGATTTCGATATAAACCTGTCAACAATTAAGGGGCGGTGGGGTAGCCTAGTGGTTAAAGCGTTGGCTCGTCACGCCGAGGACCCAGGTTTGAATCCCCACATGGGTACAATGTGTGAAGCCCATTTCTGGTGTCCCCCGCCGTGATGTTGCTGGAATATTGCTAAAAGCGGCGTAAAACCAAAACTCAGTCAGTCAGTGTCAACAATTAAACAGCGATAAAGGAAAACACTACAAACCATGTCATTATCTTTTTGCATTAAAAAACGACATAACAGATAATGCAGTTACTTTATTCCAGTAGTACATAAGAATTTAATATCTAGCCGTTTTCAAACAATCCGTAGACAAAGGACGAACTGAAAACAATGGTTCGACAGACAACGGACCGTCACCAATCGACGATGAATGACACCTATAAAAGCAATAACTTGCTCCCAACTGAATGAATACACCAATGGAACGACGCCATTTCCACGCTTACTGATGTGAAGATGTACCAGCAATGAGCATTATTCCTTGGCTGATCAATTTAAAATTACTTGCACACGAAGCAGTCTGAAAATCGTAACTTGCGGGAAGCGTGCATCAGATACCATCTACGTATATTTGTTTTTTATAAAACACTTACGTTTTCTCCCTGAGGTGTTTCAGTGAATAATAAATAAATTTCTCTCATTAAGATAAGATACACCTTTTTATGTTATGCGGTGTTAATTCAATTCACTTATATATTCAGACAGGATTGCGATGACAGTTCTTGATGTGAAACAGCATGTTGAATTTCTACCTGAAAGACACCAATTCGTCGAAGAGAATCAATTTGACGATCATCAGTAGTTGAAATCAATATTCTATGCACACGGTAAGAGAGAAGATCCTAATAAAGACAATTAGAATCGAAGTTGCAGTCGAAACTGTGACGTGTATGGGAACTATGAGGCTCAATATCTATCCATGGTGTCCTCAGGTGTTGGTATCTACAAGACCACAAGTTGTGTCACAGCTAAGTGCTGCCTGCTGGTTCCGTCAAAGAGGAGATACAAACTATGTCGCTTGTACAGATATACAAAAGGCCCAAAGTGACTCAAATAGGAAAACGCTTAATATATTATGAACAGAATCCATTTGGTTAAGAAGATCGACATATTGTTAATTTGAGTCCTGGGGTAGATGGTTGCCAACGTAGGTGTGAGGTTTCGATAAAGCATGTTAGGGTGAACATTACGTTTGTTTGTTTGTACGTATGTATGTTTTTTTGTTTCAATTGTATGTATGTTTGTTTCTTGGTTTCTTGCTTAACGCTTCACACAGCAATAATCCAGCTTTATGATGGCGGTCTGTAAATAATCAAGTCTAGACCTTACAATCCAGTGATTGACATAATGAATATCGATCTACGGAATTGGGATGCGATGACAGGTGTCACCCGAACCCGTTAGTCGTCTCTTACGACAAGCATGGGTTGCTGAACACAAATTCTAACCCGGATCTTCACGGGTCTTGTACGTTATCGGTTTTGGTGTAGACCTTTCTGTGGTCTTCGTCTCGCCTAAGTATGGAAGCGTATAAGTGCCACAAGCTAAAATGACACTGATACCCTTCCATACCAAAGGCTACCGCTGTGTCCTTTCAATCATTTCTAAGTACGTCTTTGAACTGATGCGACTTTCTAATGTCGAAAGAACAGTCGCCTATTATTGGTTGTCGGTTGTCATAGCAATGAACAATTTTAAAACAAGTCACTATCTTTTTCTTCACAAGCCATCATCCGAGTATTTACAATGCCCCGGTGTACAGCCCGAGTTAACAGTGTCGTCCGAAAACATTATTCGACGATGCATATATACATGTGGTGATCGGGAAAAAAGTCATAGGAAAAAAAGTCATGGAAATAGGCCATAGGAAAAAAGTCATCGGAAAAACTTTTATAAACATATATATTTTTTTCATAAGCCTTGTGTTTTCGATACATTCGTACATGTGTTTCAGCGTTACAATATATTTTAATCCAGATATCTATGTAATATTGATGGAAATGTACAGCCGTTTGTTTCGAATACATTTATACCTGCATATTTCATACAGATGTGTTTCGTTTATGCAGAACCACGTTGTTTCATGCTATATACAGTGGACCGGGAGCAAATGTCGGATTATACAGAGTGGGGACAGGATGTTGGATTGTACAGATTAATAGTGTCAATTCTACACCTTAAAGAAACAAAATGATCCAGTGCCAGTTAATCCATAGCCTCCACTGATCGTATTGAATGTCTCATTGTATTTTCCCTAATCTTAAAGGGGCGGTGGGATAGCATAGTGAATCGATCGTCACGCCGATGACCCGTGTTCGATTCCCTACATGGGTATAGTGTGTGAAGCCCATTTCTGGTGTCCCCCGCGGTGATATTGCTGGAATATCGCTAAAGCGACGTAAAACGAAACACATCTTAATCTTAAATTCATTAAGATGTTTCGTTTTGCTCAACATTTGCTATACTTAAAGACATTACTGCTCCCACATGTAAATAAGTGCCTGTTATCAAGTAGTATAGAAGATATGGGAGATAGGCGGAGGGGTAAAAGTGGATAAAGCGTTCGCTCGTTACGCCCAGGTTTTTGTGAACCATATTTCTAGTGTCCCCATTTGATATTGCTGGAATATTGCTAAAAGCGGCGTAAAACCATACGCATTCACTCAGTCTTTCGACTCTCAAGGCTGCAGTGGAAACAAGACAATGTCTATTAATACAGGTGAGCACAATTCATATAAATTTGAACTAAACTTTCAATATTCTAAAGAAAGTTTTCAGTGCGATAACCAATATGAATTGAGTGGTCGGGTCGATTGTATGTCATCGTACTCTAAAGTGGTTGACAATGGTGCTCATGACATCGACCACTGGTTTGTCTTGACCATATTCGATTATTTACATGCCTTCGTCAACTAGCATGACTGTTAATAAATGGGACTTTAACCAACCATATGATAGACTGACTGACTGAGTTTGGTTTTACGCCGCTTTTAGCAATATTCCAGCAACACAACGGCGGGGGACACCAGAAATGGGCTTCACACATTGTACCCATGTGGGGATTCGAACCTGGGTCTTCGGCGTGACGAGCCAACGCTTTAACCACTAGGCTACCCCACCGCCCCTATGATGGAATGAGGCAGATGAAGTTATGTAATGGTTAAAACGGTATTCTATTTTAAAACAGAAAATGGCTTGGTCAACAAAGACAAAGGAAAAAAGATATTTGATTCACTTAAAGCTTTTCTCACACATTAGGCTGCCACGCTACAATAAATGAAATACTATCCGAAGATGCTATTATCCAAAACTCGACCCCCCAAGCCGAGAAATAAAGTGATATAT